TTTTTTGAAAAAATGGAAATTTTCTGAAAATGTCTCAAATTTTACATTGAAAAACCTGCCAGAATTTTCAGATCCGAAATCAAGGGCGGATCCAGGGGGGGGGGTCATGGGGATCATGACCTCCCCATTCAATTCTCTATCCAACGATGCCAAAACGAATTCTATTAAAAAAAAGTTTTATCCTTTCTTCAAGTATTAAAAATACTTATGATATCAGATATACTACATTAAAATCCGTTCATTAGTTTACTCAAAAATTTAAAAAATGCCGTCCATTTCAGCGTTTTGTTAATTTTCAATAACTAATTCAGTTTTGTTTCACGAAAATGGTACCATAACTTTTTTTGGTCAGTCAGCAATGAATTTTTCATTTACTGCACTTTGTAGTATAACTCTTTACCAGTAAAATACAGCCTCAGAGAAGTCTCTCCGACGTCTCAAGAAAAATGTGTTTAGAATCTGGCAAGAGTCCTTTTTACATAACAAATAGGAATGAACAGAAAGTTATGAATTTTTGGAACTAAAATTTATACCACTTATAAAGGATACAGACACCTTCAAAAAAAGTTATAGTGTCAAAAGCAAATTTAATATAAAAAAATTTACTTTCATCTATTTAGTGCCCGGAAAAAATCTAATCTAATCCGACTGCACTAATTGTTCCATTGAAGGATATCCACGCCACTTCCTAGTAATTTGGGTGCGAATCTGCTGGCTGAGCAATAAATTATCACCGAAGACCCAATGCCTTTTGTTAATTTGTGTATGCAAGGGCTGATGTTCAAAAAAAAGTCATAACTTTTTTTATGAGTAACGTTTTACCATTTTATCGAAACTTTATTTGAACACAAAAAAAGGTAACCACATTCCACTTAGGGGCAGTAAAATGTAAAAAATATCCTATTTTCATGCTGATCACTGATTACAATTAATCTTATCGCTTAATTGAAAATTGGCCATTTAATACTTCAGCTACGTTTAATAAAAGCAAATAACGAAACATGTCCAGAGTAGGTAAATAGCGCCTATACAAATTTAAATGTAGTTCGTCCACTACTCCACTGGGCAGATGCAACAAATGCTATTTTATTTCAGAAGC